CAACATCTAGCCACTAGGCAAACCCCAGAGCACACCTCTATTTATTTTGCCCTCCCTGTGCCAGGTCCTGTCCAGGCACTTCCCATTCGTTGCATCATTTAGGGTGCACAGACCGCAGAACCCCTGCAGCCCAGCTGACAGAGGAAACAGGCTCAGAGACGTTCTCTGACCATGGAGGGGGTCAAAGCACAGCGTACAGCACGGAGCTCCACTCTTTCTGCTCAATCCCTGCCCCGTTCTCAGGCCCCCACTCAGCCTCTCGGGCAGCAGGCCGAGGACTGCCCTTACTTGGCACTTCTGTCTTCCCCTCCCCACATACTGACACTGCACACATTGTGCCAGCCACTCGGGGCTGGCAGAAGTTGTTGCAAAGCCTGGCAGCTCACCCCTGCTGCGCTGCCAGAACCTGGGGCTGCCACTGGGAGGCCACCTGCCTCCTGACCTGGGCACGTACTTGGGTGTGCTACAGGCTACCCTGGTCTCCCTGCTCCATGGGGCTGGCTCAGGCTTGCCTGGCATGACATCATGCCCTCAATTTCATTCTCTATACACAGGGCCAGGGACGTGGTCTCACTGCTTTTGCAGCACAAACCAAAATTCAAAGGGCAACTAACTCACAATTCCCTCTAGACAGTCATGTCCTCTCTCACTGGCCCGAGACAGTCCCATCCTGATGACTTCTGGGTGCTTTAACTGTGCTCACCTAATGAGGGCTCAGGATCAACCAAGGAAGGGCTCTCTTTGGAACCAGAAGGTAGCATAGCAGTAGAGCGTTTGACGCCCACATGGGAAGGTTCTGGGTTCACATCCAGAAACCTCCCTGGATACACTGAGCATGTGCACATCCATAATCCAGAGCTGGGGATAGAGCACAGTGAGAAGACCCTGTTGGGACTGTTTCTTTCTCACTTTCTCTCATGGGAGAAATAAATAAATAAAAACAAAATCAAAGATCTGATGTCTATTTAAAAAATAAAGTACTCTCCATAAAGTTCAGCCCTGAAGTAAGGAGCTGGAACCAGGTCTGAAAGTCAAGGGTGTTCATTTCAAAACACACGCGTGGGCCCTGGGCTGATGATTTAATCCATAAAACACCTACAGAGTTAAGACGCTGAGTTTGGACAATAAACATATTCTTCAAGCTATTTTGTTGAGTTCAAAGAGAAACTTAATAACTCACTGGCTTTTGAAATCAAGAAAGGTCCTTAAAATTCTATCATCATCGTTATCACTATTCTTCACTGAACATATCTGAGCACAGAGTTCAACGCTAAGCACTTCACGTGGAATATTTCGATTAGTCCTCACATCAGTAGCCCTATGCTACCAGGGAGGAAACTGCGGTTCAGAGAGGTTCTACAACCTGCCTTCTGACATATGTACTCAAAACTGTTCTCAATAAGGGAAATTTCAGGCCTTACCTTTTTTCAAATCCAACGAAGGAGTCAAATGTAATTGTCTTAAATACTAGGCCTTTTCAGATTAACTCAAAAAGTTGTGCACTGTGTGTGATTTTTTTCTTAATTATTTTCCAAAATAAAAGAGTAAAAGGGCCCCCGTTCCTTTAATACTTAAAAACATCATTTTTCAATCTTTCCTAAGAATGTGTGCCCACTGATGATCTTTGGTGTCTCCTGTTTGTGTCATCTGAAAAGAGCTGACTTGAGGCCTACTTGTTTGTAAGTATGCAAAGAGCACCATCACTAGGGGGCCAGGAGATGTTGTGGTGGTCAAGGTGGCTGGATCCCACATGGCCAACTGTGTGGTTCAAGTCCCAGATTCAGCAGCTTGAAAGATATAGTGGGCATGTGTGTGAGAGCACATGCCCTCAATTCCAAGAGGAAAATGCAGAAGGGATTGTTGTTGTGGCCATTCCCCCACAGGGGATGATTTCTCTCTTTCCTCTCTCTCTATCTCGCTCTCTCTGTCTTTCTCAGGTGAGCACACGTGCCCTACGGTAAACTAAAAAGAAAACCCGAGCCCCAGGATCATGAGTGCTGAGACGGGCTGGCTGTGGTGAGGGGTTCTGGCCATGGGTGGAGAGGCATAGCTGCAGATTTGGAGACAGGGCCTTGGGAGGCTCTGGGGTTGAGGAAAGCACATCATGCCAGGTGTCCCAGAATCTGGGTTTGTGACCTGTCATCCTATCGCTTGCCCTGCCAGTTTCTGTCTGTGAAATGGGTTAAGAGCACAGGCCTCACGGGATTGTGTGGAAAGGACAGAACTATGCATCTGCCGTCTGCCAGGCCAGTGGCACAAAGCTGGCAGCAGGTGGCTGGGTTCTTTGTTCTGTTTTCTAATCGCTTGAAACTCATTTCCAAGGGCTGTTGCTTCTCCTGGTCTTAAATCACACTTTCCTTAACACCTCCCCCCAATAAGCAGGTCGAGGAGCAAGGGCAGGGGTGCTACACTGCCCCCCATCCCACAGGCCACCCTGCTCTGCCTGCACCTAAATGCTTTCCTCCACCCTCTCTCTTTCCAACTCCAGATTTAGAAAAAGCCTCGGGCCCCCGCCTGTTCAAGGAAGAAAGAAAACGGGGCAAAGGAGGACAAGAGAGGACAGCTAGGGCTGGATGAGATGCACTGAGAAGCATCTGCCAGGGCCCCCCAAAGCCAGGGCTCCCCCCCAAAGCCAAGGCCCTCCTGGGCCTGTCAGCACCTGACAGCATTGAGCCTCTGTGGCCCTCCTCCAGGATTATTTGAAATGCCCCACCCAGATCTCCCACCTGAGCAGCAGAACAAACAGCTCTCAGACCCAAAGAGGAAGTGAGGTGTGGCAGAGGCAAGGCAGGGCTGACTGTCCCCACCATCGCAGGGACCCTGGGACTTCCCCCTCCCCCACCTGCCCCTGTGACACCCCTTCCAGGAAGGCTACAGAGTGAAATTCCTGATGTTTTAGATAAATGACTCAGAGCACTGAGACTCTGGGGATAAATAAAGGCCATATAAACAATCTGACCTCTCCCCTCTGTGCCATGAAGGGCCACACGCCACGGCTGCTCCTTGAGGAGTCCTGCACAGATACCCCAGCCCACAGTCACGCCACACCCCTGCCACACTTCTCACTACAGCACTGCTCTATCACCTCACTGCCCCGCTCAAAAGCCTTCAAAGGCCCCCATTGCCTAAGAGAAGACAGGTCCCTGCAGCCCCCTTCCTGCCCTCAGCCCACCGGTCTCCTGCATAGACCCACCAGCATCCTCTGAACCCTGCAGCCCCCTTCCTGCCCTCAGCCCACCTGTCTCCTGCATCCTCTGATTCCCTGACCCCCGCCTATGACTTTTCGTCGCTGCACCCAAATCTTCCCATCCCACAGGCCACTCCGCCAGGAAGCCAGGCCTGGCTGTCACCCTCACTCATCTTCTCTTCCAGACTTCCCTGATCTGACCAACAGCCCAACCCAAGCTTCAGGCTGCTCTCTGCTGGCTTTTATGCCTCTCACATCCACCTGACTGTCCCTTTTCCCAGGTCCCTCCTGCAGACACCACCCCCAGCCATGTCACAGGCAGTCAAGTGTCACAAGTGTCTCTACTAGAGAGGTAATATTATCCCCATGATACAAATGAGGAAACTAAGAGAAAGGAAGGCTAGGTTCTTGTCCAGAGATCACAATTCCATTTTTAACTTCTGATATGAAAGTGATGGGATGGGGCTAGCAGGTGGCATGGTAGTTAAGGCAATGGATTCCCACTTGGCCAACCATGGTTTGAGTCCCAGCCCCAGCAGCTTGCTTTCTCGCTTTCTCTCTTATATATCTCTCTCTGGTGAGCACATGTGCCCTATAGCAAACTGAAAAATAATACTAATGAAAAATAAAACTAATAAAAATAATTCTATTTAAAAAAAAAAGGAAAGGAAAGTGAGGGGGAGACCTTGTAGAGCAAGGAGGTGGCACAGAAAGGGAGGCAGGAGTCCCTCCCAGAATCCAGAAAACCTGGGCCTGGCTACCTTTGGTCCTGAGCTTCCGACAGATCCACCCAGGCCCCTTCTCCACTAACTCAGTAGGTCAGAGCTGTTGCATGAGAACCAGGGCTAGGTTGGGCCTAGGTCCCATCCAGGTCCTCCCTCTCTTTTCTTCCACTGACGGCCCTGATGGACTCATCCTGCCACCTCCCCATCTCCCAGGAAACCTCGTTCCATCTTTCCTCTCATCATGGGCTTTTCTCGGCCCACCCATCACCCATGTTTCTGGCCTCCAGCAAGCAGCATCCTCCTCACCAGCTCTTTCCAACAGCTGTTTTTCTATGGGATAATTGTTCAGTATGATATTATTAGGAAGTCTTCAAAAAAATTTTTCCATAGGCAAATCAGTTTGGGAAGTACTAAGTGATTTCTTTCCTACAGGACTTGTGAGAGCCTTTTACTTCTCTTAAAAGCATTCTGAATCAAGTGAATGTACCAATGTCTACCCTAATTTGTCTCCTGGAAGTTGCTCAGAACAATCTTTGAGAGATACCACTTCCTCCCATCCCCTCAGGACAGCCAGGCACAGGCGAAGGGATGGGTTGGGGGTCACCCAGGCTCAGCCCTGCCCTCTGAGGAGGTGTCTGAGACACTTATAGAACTCAGCCCCTGCCACCCCTCTCAGCACTGCCCCGGGCAACACAACCCTTGCCCCAGTGTCTGCCCTTCCTCTTCCTTGTTTGTGGTGACTACTACCACCCCCCCTGCCCCCCAGCATCTGGAGGTACCTCAACTGACCAGTCTCTCTGATACCTGCCCCAAGCTTGACAAAACCTGGACAGCATGGGACCTGGGGAGATGCCAGAGCCAGCAGAACTGTTTTTCCATGCAAATTACTCATTCCGCCCCCACCCCATCATTAGCACATAAGGTTTAACATTAAACCCCAACTAAGATGTGTGTTAAGCTGCCGCTCTGCAAAGACAGTGCCCCAACCAAGAAATGCTATGACACCCTCCATGTCCCCCAGGGAAGAAAATAAAATCCTCAGTTTACAGACAAGGAAACTGAGGCCTCAGAGGGGAGCAGACACTTGCCTGTAGTGGCCCAGCCAGGGACACAGCAGAGAGAAGCATCCAGGCGACCCCCCCCCCGGCATACCAGGGGGGTGGCCACAGTGGGACAGGACCCGACGGCAGCTCACATGACCATCAGCAGGAGCAACAAGGACTCACTCTGACCAGGGCAAGACACTGTGCCCGGGGGTGGCCCCCGAAACTGTGAGGGCTTCTAAGAGAAGATGTCAGGGCCAGACCTGGAGGACTTGTCAGTGGTTTCCCAATCTCTCAGCCCCGCCCGGGCTGGAGAAAGGGTGCTCACCCCAGATTGGCTTCCCACAGCTCCAGGCTCAGCTGTGGGCAGAGATAAGGTGCCCTGCCTGCCATCTGTATGTCACTCTGACCCAGGACACAGCCGGCCAAGACACCCCCTTGTGGTCTTGGGAGTCCTCACAGTCAAGGGCCCTGGAAATTGGGCCTGTTCCTGGCCTGAACTCAAGCCTCCAGAGGCCCCTCCTGCAGCCCGCCTCCCTGCGGAGTAGCCCCCTGCTCCTCACATCCTCAGGCACCCCTCTCTGCCCTGCCTACCCCAAACGCCTCCCCTGTTTCAGCCCAGCCTCCCAACAGGCAGCTCCCTAATACTCCACCAAGGAGTTCACAGAGCTAAGATGGCTCCCTGCACCTAAACTGTGCCTACCCCTTGAGAGCCCCATCTGAAGCCTGCGCCAGAGTGCCAGTGTGCCCGTGGGCCGGGAGCACTGCATTGCCCAGGAGCTTATTAGAAACGCAGAGTCTCAGGAACGCAGGTGGTGCAGTGGTTAAGGCACAGGATCCCTCAAGGCTGAAAGCAGTTCAAATCCCAGACTCAGCAGCTTGAAAAGTACATGCCTAAAATCCCAAGAGGAGAATGGAGGAGAAGGGGGACTGTGGTATGGCCATACCCCCCAGGAGGTGGAGAGATAACGGGCGGTGGGGGGGTGGAGAATGGCAGTCTCAGGCCTCCCCCAGATCTGCTGGATCATACAGGGCCAACCTGCCTTTAACAAGCTGCCTGAGTATTAGTGTTTAAGGAGCGCATTTATAAACCTTTGCTCTGTCCAAGTCACTGCACCCATGGATCATAGCTTTCCATGTCTCCCTGGGCCTAGTGACTCAAGTCAAGACTCAGCAGCTTTGCCTGAAGGCCTTTCCCAAGCTGCCCACTTCTCTGGGATCTCCCTCCACCTTGGAAATGCCATCCCCTCCTCTGTCAGCCAAAGCCACCCAAGGACTTCAGGACCACCTCCTCCAGGAAGCCAGTCTGAATGACACCTCAATAATTGAAACTGACAATGTCTCACTCTTATTTCCTGGCACTCCCAGCAGCTCTCAGCACCAGGAAAGGGCAAATGAGATGCCAGGTGCCGACCGCAGCTCACAAGGCCCAGTGTCCAGCTGTCAGGAAGTCCACCCTCAGCTCTAGCCTGCCTGCCTTGAACCCAGCAGCTGAGACCCCGGCCATGTGGGCAAGCCTCCTCCGTGCTCTCCTGCCAGATAAGAGGGACCTGGTGCACTTCTAACAGCAGTCCTTCTCTGTGCCTCGGCTTCCCCACATGCAGAAGAGAATGCCCACTGACCTGTCCTTCTTCTCTTCTAGGTGTGCTAGCAGGAGCTGCCTGGGTAGATGAGCAGATAACTTAAATGCTAGTGCTCAACATTCGGAACAAACAGATCCATCCCTGTGTGGTCAGCAAACCCTTCTTTGGTCAGCCAGCCAGGCCCTGGGAAGCCAGCTCACCTGCCAGAGGTGACCTCATGCCCCAAATAAGGCCTTCCAGGGAAGAGCTGCCTCTCGTTTCTTCTATTCCCCTCTTCCTGTCCAGTCCCTCGATACCGGCATCTCCTGAGAATCCCTTACCCCACTACATGAGGTTTTCATGGAACCTCAAGGAACCCCCTGGCTCCACAACCTCAGCAAAGAAAAACAAGGGCTAATTCCATTTTACACAGAAAAACAGAGGTTGGAACAGGGCTGATAGTGAAGTAGACTAAGCTGTTTCCAGTTCCCATTCCCTGTTCCCCCAGCTCTGCTCCCACATTTGACCCAGCCCAACTCAAGCCCATACAGCCTCCAAGGCCAAGCCTGAGGTGCCATCTCACAAAATCCTAGATGGAATCTCAGACAGGTCAGTTTATCTGGCTTATCAGCTCCTACCTGACCTCCCTATCCTTGGCCTGGGGGGCTGGGATTTTCACAAGCAGGTGACAAAAGCATGCTAAACCCAGAGGGGTGACATTCTAATGGTGTCATCTCAAGCAGGGAACTGTTTTTGTACCAGAAGCAGTAGCTCTCCCCAGTACTCCAAAATCACAAAGCATGTCAGCCAATCACTTGGCCTGGGTCCACAGCCCTCCATGAAGAAAAACTGGGGCATGAAGCAGAGAAACTCAGCTACCTTAGAGTGCACACTTTTTGCCAACTGCTGCAGCCCCAAGACCAGGCACCACTGGGAGGCAGGAAAACCATGTGTTTATGTGTTTATTAAGTTCTGACGGGACCAGCAATTAGAGTAATGGCTAAGTCACTGGACTCCCATGTAGCCGACCATGGTTCGAGTCCCAGACCTGGTGGCCTAAACTCACACCGGGCACATGTGTGTGCATGCCCAGGATTCCGAGAGGAGATCACCAGAGGAGAAGGGATTGCGGCGTGGCCATGCCACCTGGGGGGTGATTTCTCGCTTTCTGTCTCTTGTCTCTCTCTGTCTTTCTGGTGAGCACACGCTCCCTATAGCAAAAAAAAAAAAAAAAAAGAGAACTCTCAAAAAAAAAAGAAGTCCTGGCACTGGAGCCAGCAAGTGGCATGGTGGTTAAGGCACTGGACTCCCATATGGTCGACCATGGTTCAAATCCCGGACCCAGTGGCTTGAAACTCATACCGGGCACATGTGCGTGTGTGCCCAAAATCCTAAGAGGAGAATGAAGGAGAAGGGACTGCAGCATGGCCATCCCCCTGCACTGGGGAGGGGTGTGATTTCTCACTTTCTGTCTTTCTGTCTCTCGGGTGAGGGCACATGCCCTGTAGCAAAAATATCTCTCAAAAATATAAAAGTCCTGGCACCTATCGGAGAGGCATAAGAAAAGTGGCAGGGTGAAGTGATTAAAGCATGGATTCTAGAGCCAGTCTGCTTACGTTTGGTTCTCACTCTGTTGCCATCTAGCTGTATGACTTACGCCTCAGTGTTCTCATCTGTAAAGTGGGAATAAGACCTACCTTACAGAGCTGTTAAAGGGATTAAAGAAGTTAATATCTGAAAAGTCTACCACAGCTCAGGGTTTTTCCTAGGCATGCCGGCCAGCCCCAGATCTGGAACACCAGCCCTAGTTCCAGTGCTCGCTCACCTTAGAGTGTAAAGTTAGTCCACTCCTGCACTGCCCCCCCCAGTCCAGGTCCAGCTCCTCTCCTTCCCAAGTCTGAAATCCCTGACTCTGGACCCTCCACTCCAAGACCACCAGCCACAGCATTCAACACTCAACTGGCTCTTCTGTGCAAATGCGAGAGCTGTGGGGAGAAAGACCAGGGTCTACAGAGAGACACCCCCCCCCCAGCTGCCTCTTCCTCTCCGACTCCCTGCCCCCCCAAGGGCTGAGCACTTAACAGTTACTTAAGGCAATGAACCCCTGGCTGCCCAGGCTGCCCGTCTCCTGAGTCAGAGAATCCCCCGCCCACCCATCATCCACACATTCATATATGTCCCTCTGTGGACACAACCTAGGCTTCCGCTAAAGAAAGCAATCACTTACCCTCAACCCACAGTGACCCAGACTCCACATCACTGGCTCCCCAACCTCTCGCTTCCCCCAGTGTGCAGGCCTGCCCTCAAGTCACCCATCCCTTCCCTACTTCCCCTTTCCGTATGCCACTGGCTCTCTCAGATTCTTGCACCCATTCGCACAACTGCTTTTGTGGAAAGAAAATAAGTCTTCAGGGTCACTCGAGGTTTAAAGTGATTACAAAGTGCAGAGTTTATCTCTAGCCCCAGTCTCTCTAGCAACTCAAGGGTTCCTATGCTGACTGTCATACCCACTTCTTTCTGCCCTGCCCAGTCCAGTCCCAAACTGTCCATATGGTTCAAGATGTCCTAAACATCAGCTCCATTCCAGGCACTGTACTTGATGTTCCAAATACAGCGATGGGCCATTTGGTCAACGTTCCAGCCTAAGCAGCCAGGCAAAGTCAAGTAAACAGACGAACATGACGAGTAGTGATGGACTGGGATACATAGAGTAAAGAAGTAAGTTGGGGGCTGTGATGAGTTAGGGGAGAGGGGCCCTCTCTCAAGACCGGAAAGACATTTGAGGAAGGTATATTTGAGACCTAACAAAAAAGGAGCAGAGCCAGCCCAGTAAAGGGCATTAGTAAAATATTCCTAGCAGAGAAGACAGCACAGCAAAGGTCCAGGGGCAGGATAAAGCTTCAGGGAGTCAAGGGGTAGAAGTGATTGAGATCTTTCATCAGGGAAAGTGCAATGGAAATAGTGACCAAAATAAGGCTAAGGCCCCCATCAGTTATGGCCAGATCATGAAGGTTCTGATAGGCCAGGAGAAAGCTTTGAGATTTGACTCAAAGGCAGCAGGGAGCTATCAAAGGTGTTAGGGGAATGATATGATCTATTCAAAATTGTCTCTATCTTCCTGTTGCTCTGTTAAAATAGAACAAAGGAGGGAAAGTGCAGGCATGGGAGGTTAACTGCTTCTCCAGTATTCGGGCGAGATTTAAAAGGTGGCTTGGGGGACCTGCAGTTGGCATAATGGTTATATCACTGGACTCCTATGTAGTTAACTGCAGTTGAAGTCCCGGACCGGGTGGCTTAAACTCACACCGGGCATGTGTGCGTGCGTGCCCAAGATCCCAAGAGGAGAATGGAGGAGAAGGGACTGCGGTGTGGCCATCCCCCCTGGGGGGTGCTTTCTCACTTTCTGTCTCTCTGTCTCTCTCTCTCTCTCTCTCTCTCTGTCTTTCTGGCGAGCACACATGCCCTATAGCAAAAACTTCTCCATATATATATATAAATATAAATAAATAAATAAAAGGTGGCTTGGTGTGGGGCAGGCAGCCGAGAGCAGTAATAGTGGAGTCAGAGCATGAAGAACAGTCCTGAAATAGACTGTAAAAAGAACAGAGAGGACTTGTTCCTGGACTGGCTGTGAGGAAGAGGGGAAGGGAGAAGCTGGTACGACCTGGTCTCCTGGCTTTAAAGGTGAGTGGATTATGGGCGACT